AGATTTCCTATAAGGACATTGCATATGATTTAAACACAGTAAGAATTATATTAGGCAATTACTCCCATTTCAGCCAGTATGGTGTAGTGGTTAAGAGCGGTAGTCTCGTAATCTGGGGAACCGGGTTCGCTTCCCCGCTCCTCCACATGCAGCTGCTGGGTGACCTTGGGCCAGTCACACTTCTTTGAAGTCTCTCAGCCCACTCACCTCACAGAGTGTTTGTTGTGGGGGAGGAAGGGAAAGGAGAATGTTAGCCGCTTTGAGACTCCTTAAAGGGAGTGAAAGGCGGGATATCAAATCCAAACTCCTCTTCTTCTTCTTCATTAACTCACTATTTGTGTGTGTGGTGCTGGCAAAATTGTCATGCTCACTTCTGTAGGTTTTTGATAATAAGGTAGGGATTCTTCCTCTCTTTAGATCAAGGTGTATATGTATGGTAGGAGATGCTGCCTGCTTGAGCTGTGATTTTGCGGTCTGAAACATTTATGTATAGTAAACCAAGCTTTCTTTCTTAATGTGTCTCAAGAGTCTCCACCCCCATCATTCTGCCCGGATGCTGAGGTCCAGCACCGAGAGCCTTCTGGAGGTTCCCACCCTGCGAGAAGCAAACTTACAGGGAACCAGGCAGAGGTCCTTCTCAGTAGTGGTGCCTGCCCTGTGGAACACCCTCCCATCAGATGTCAAGGAAATAAACAACTATCTGACTTTTAGAAGACATCAGAAGGCAGTCCTGTTTAGGGAAGCTTTTAATATTTGATGAATTATTGTATTTTACTATTTTGCTGGAAGCCGCCCAGAGTGGCGGGGTATAAATAATAAATTGTTGTTGTTGTTAATTTGTTCGCCTCTAAACACTACTGGCTTGCCTGCCTGGCATTTAAAAGGTCTTTAGGATCGCCAGCCAGAATAAAATAAAGTATCGGGTGTCAGGAGTTTTATTTAGGCAAGAATAGGGGCAAACACGGGACGCGGGTGGCGCTGTGAGTAAAACCTCAGCGCCTAGGACTTGCCGATCGTCAGGTCCACGGTTCGAATCCCCGTGGCGGGGTGCGCTCCCGTTGTTCGGTCCCAGCGCCTGCCAACCTAGCAGTTCGAAAGCACCCCCGGGTGCAAGTAGATAAATAGGGACCGCTTACTAGCGGGAAGGTAACGGCGTTTCCATGTGCTGCGCTGGCTCGCCAGATGCAGCTTGTCACGCTGGCCCACGTGACCCGGAAGTGTCTCCGGACAGCGCTGGCCCCCGGCCTCTTGAGTGAGATGGGCGCACAACCCCAGAGTCTGTCAAGACTGGCCCGTACGGGCAGGGGTACCTTTACCTTTACCTTAGGGGCAAACACATTCATGAACTTACACATATTATAACCCCAGCAAAAGACCCCAAACCCTCTGTTGGTGTGTGCATATGAATACACGTTGGAGACGTATGTGGGTTTAGACACATACTGTTACAGTTCCATTTCAAGTCCAGAGAAGAGCCATCCAATGGTGTTATTTTCCTTTATTGAGCTTTTATTAATGCCCTTGAATTTTCTGATGTATGGGAAGCCAGGCTATAAAGTATATAAACATTAAAAACGTGGAGAGGATCAAGATGATGATGGATAGGAAAGAGAAAACAAATTCAAGTGCCAGCTTGGCCAATGGACAGAGATAATGGAATCCGAACGAAAAATCTCAGACGTGATTGAACATGAAACATTTAATGCTTTTATACATCCCTCATAAGATTTTCCAAGAGGGTACATAAGGAATGGAACTTTTGGTGCTTGTGAAGAAAAAGATGTACTCATTCTCTCTCTAGTTGAGTTTTCCCTGTTGCATTGATAACACAAAATAAATATAGCAAGATTTTCTCTCCCTATATACCCACTAACTCACCAAAAACACTTTGTTCTGTCAGAATCAAACCATGGCCATACTCATGCTTTTGGAAAGGTCCAGTGATGAAGTATTAAACCTTTTGAAGAAGAATAATTAAAATCCTACAGGAGCAACATCTAATTCTGATTTTACATGGCAAGCCAAAATATATTAACTGTAAAAACTACTGATTTTTCACTGGATAAAAATATAATAAACTAGCTAACTAGTCTATATAAAAGTGTCTTTTGAAAGCATCTACAAAAGATAAAGACTAAGTAGAAATTGAGAAAGGCAGAAAGAGGTTTTTTTTAAAAAAAAATTATCAAAATACTCTGTGCAGTTTATAAATATGCACAATTTTGAGCATACAACCTGGGCAGCATTTGCGATGGAGGTAAACAAATTGCTCAGTAATGGCCCATAGCTTAAGATGCATTGTAAAAGTTAACAATTGCAGCCTTGTACCTATTTATGCAGCAAAAGGCACTTAGCTAGGTGATTTCTGATATTTTTCTTTGCTGTGAAATATAACCAAGAAAATAGGTTTCATTTGTCTGCTTCTTGACCCCCTGGTGTTAAGGAGGATGACTGCAAAGAGGAACTTTACAAACAGCTTCCTCTTTGAAACCCTAACCAAATCTGAGCACACCTGCAACACATATGCCAGTGACTCTGGCCTTGGATTCCAAACCTATCCTAGGTGCTGTGAATGACTAACATGCCTCTTAAATAAAATCCAAAATGTCTGTCAAACACCCATTTGGTTCAAGGGTGGGGGACATGTTGGAGAGGGGCCTCCGGTTGTTTCTGGACTGCAACTCCCATCATCCCTGACTCCTGGCCATGCTGTCTGCCGGGGCTGATGGGAGTTTGGAGTCCAACAGCATCAGGATTCCCATCCCTGATTTAGTGTTTGAAATGAAACCTTCACTTTTAAAACAAAATTACATTTTATATGTAGATTACAAAACTGAGGGGCGTCAACAGAGGGCCATCGGAACAGATGCAACCATTTCTTTTCAACACCAGTTTTTAAGGAATGCGTCATTTTCAGAGTCAGTTTCCTCTCAAATGCTCCTGGGTGGTAAACGCTGCTTGTACATCCCTGCAATAGCTTTGGCTGTGCTGTAGATCATCTGTCGTCGGGACATGCCGGTGAATGCAGAGTGCCAATCCGTTCTGTTGACGTGCAGTAATTGCTTCTCTATCACTTCCCCCACTGTCACCAACAAACCTGACCATCTTAGGTTATAATCCTGAGGAGTTAGACTTTGAGCCTGTGAAATAATTTAAATTGGAGTGAGTAACAGGAGAAAATGGAGAAGCACCTGGGCAAGTTCAACCTCCTCCAGAGCTATATCAGCCATAGTTCAAAGTTCATTCAAAAGCATAAATAATACTGCTGCTGGCATCTGACTTAACAAGTGAACAGTCAAAGTTCTATAGCAGCTATACGTTCTATAGAATTTTAGAAAGTGCTGCTAGTGAAATTTGTTGTGAAGAGAACCTCTGGTTTAACAGGCTAGGGACAACAGGAACACTTATTTTCTCCTTTTCAGGAACAAATTGGCCAAACTTTCACCCAGTGACAGCAGATTATAGGCATTTTTTTCACAGGCACCATCAGTGCCCATGACTAGGTTCTCTGCGATGAGGTTGAAAGAGCTGGGTACGTTTAGCATGGAGCAGAGATGGCTAGAAGGCTCTCACATTTGCTTTCTGTTGCCCCAGAGGGTGGAAGTGGAACCAATGGGCCCAAAGGGGAATCTCACTAAACATGAGCCTACGATAGCTTGGTTGGTAGAGAATGAGACTCTTTAATCTGAGCTGCGAGTTTGAGCCCCCATTGGGCAAAAGATTCTGCATTGCAGGGGCTGGACTAGATGGTCCTTGGGGTCCCTTCCAACTCTACAATTCTGTGATTCTGAGCCTCCTGGCAGTGCAGGATGTTCAAAGGTGCCTCAGAATGAATGAGGCTGACTCGCTGTGGTTTTTAAGCCTCCAGCCCTACAGACCATCTTAAGGAACATCCCCCAATGCTTACTGCCAGCTCACTCACAATGACTCAGATTACCACCCACCATTCACTCAGCCCCCAGTCTCTCAAATAAGTGCTTTGTGGCCCAGAGAGATCCTGCAAACCATTTGCAACATAGCTTCTCTTGAAAGTATGAAGCCTTCCTTAGCAGAAGTTTAAAGTGAAGACGAATGGTCTTGGTCGTATAGTGGATTATGAAGCAGCAAACAAATTAATTGTGCACTTATATTTTCCTCTGCCTCAGTTATGAACAGCATTCTAAGTTTGAAACTTGGGCTTCATCCACCTTCCTGTGGGTGATGAACTGAACTGCCTTCAGCTGAGCCTTCTTTTAAGCCTTTCCCACCTGCAATGACATGTACTTAGCATGTATTGTAACTTGCCAACTATTACTGAGAACCAGGAGGCATGTGTGTAGCTCCCATATAGAAATTCATTCCTCCCTCTCTTCCCAGGCTCTCACACTCAGTGTAGTTTGCAGGCCAAGACCCCAGGCAGAGGAGAGGGATCGCTAGATCAGTGTTTCCCAACCTTGGGCCTCCAGCTGTTTTTGAACTACAATTCCCATCATCCCTGACCACTGGTCTTGCTAGCTAGGATGATGGGAGTTGTAGTCCAAAAACAGCTGGAGGCCCAAGGTTGGGAAACACTGCGCTAGATGACTATATGGGAAGCACACTTGGGCCTCCTGTTGGAAGTAATGGTCCATGCAGTGTGATGTGCACATGTCATATACCTGCAGCAGCCAGGGAGAGAGGGAAATGTCAATTGCTTTGTGTGCATAGCTGCAATCCATAAAGGAATGCATCCATAAAGGAATGGATCGTACCCACAGTTATTATGGCTTATAAAAGAACACAGATTTTTACAATCTTAGGTCAAAATCACAAGATGGTCTTTATTTTTATTTGTTTTCTGGAGAAACTTAGTTATGTTTGAGGTTTTCAGTTGTTATCCTTGGGTCAAAAGTCAGAGTTACGGGTGCCTGCACATGATCCTTGAGCACTTTGTGCAATCCAAGTTTGTGAGTATGTACTAGAATTTCTAAAATGTGCGTTGTTTTTGTCTCTAGGGAATATCCTGGAGCACAGTCCCGATACATGATTGGAGAAGTACAGTATGGAGGCAGGGTCACCGATGATTATGATAAGCGTCTTCTTAATTGCTTTGCAAGGGTAAGGAAATGTGATGAAAAGTTCTTAACAATAAGCAAAAAAGGCTTCCAAATGAACAATGATTCACTTTCAATTGAAATAAGCTATAGAATGTTGTTTAAAAATGCACCAGCAATGTAATAGGACCCTCATGGCATATAGTCAATCATCTGGAAAGAAAGGCCTTTCAAATTTATGATTTTGTATTTTTCATAAAATCAATGTATTAAAGCCATTGCTATGTTTTGTTTTTTAAAGCAGTAGGCTTTCGGTTATTCATATAACAAGCTAATATCCTATACATTTAATGAGTAGGTTTTGGGATGTTGGTTGGTGTACATCAGTAGGATTGTGCTGTCATGACCTCAGAGTCCAGCAGTGACCAGCAAAGGAGCCAGAGCAGATTCCTGGCTTTTTGGGTCTGATGCTGGTAACCAGAGGACAATTGAACCTGAGGGTGGCAGGCAGGACCTCATTGAAACTAGATGCCACAGCATTAGAACCCATTCAACTGGTGCAGGACCCTCTGGGCCTGAGACCCATGTGTCTTTCACAGTACTTCACCAGTACAAGTGTGTATGGAGAACACCAGGTAGGAGGCCATGCAATGAAGGAGAGGTGCCTGATTTGATGCCAAAGGGGTGGCCCTTTAAGAGACACTAGTTCTCCAAAAGAAGATGGTGACAGAGGCTCAAAAAGTCTCAGTTTGCACCCAACCCTTGTAGGAGCAAATTGCTCATTTGGGACTCTCCATGGTACTGAAATGCCTGCTCACTGGTTCCTGGCGGTGGGTGGGGTTTGCAGCCTGGTGTGGGGCCTGCCATCATCCCCGGGCCACACCACACCAGTGGTCAGCACGGCAACACTGTTTTTTCCCACCGAAGGGGACAGTTCAAACCAGCCAATTGGCAGCAATCAAGGGGGCAGAGCCTCAGGAGCGGATCGCGCCTGCTAAGGCTTCACTCTAGTCCGCTCCTGTGGCTTAAAAGTAGCAGGAGTCGATGCTGGCTGTGCAGTCAGCCCTTGGAGTGTCACCCACCCAGCCCTCACTCTAAATGCTTCCTTTGTTACAGGCTAAGCTTTCTTCTTCCAGGTTCATGGGCGTTGCTGTGGTCGGATGATGGTTGCTGTCTTTCAGAGCCGGGAAGGAATTTCCCCTGCTCTGCAGGTTTTGCCTTCCCCATAGCAATTGTCACAACTTTGGCGGTTTTAGGCCTTGGGAAGAATCCTTTCGTCCAACAGTCAACAAAGGGGTGGCATGGTGACTCCCCCCTTCTGCAGCGGCAATATCAGGGCCCCCATTAAAGGGGTATTGAGGGGAGTCTCTGTCCACAAGCGCACTGAGAACTCCCCTCTGCAACGTGGAAAGGGGACCAGCTGTGTAAACACACACTTTGCAGTGTTCCCATATTCCTGACTGACACTGCCATGCCTCAGACCCCAGCATGGGGCTGAGAGGGATACCTAAGCCAAGGTTTCCCACATCTGGAATTCAATAAAGTTGTGGCCAATTTTTTATCCCAAAATATATTGTCTGTGTTTCATTCTGTTTAATTGAGGGCTGGCTCCCGGGAGGTGGGGGACTCTGTGAGCTCCTCTGGATCAGGACAGGAGCACTTTGCCAACATTTGATGGCTTCTGCTTTCTGTCCTTGTGTACCCCATTCTCAACAATCCAGCTCTTAATTCTTAACAAACTTAAATTTCAACTCCACCCCCCCCCCCCGGTTTTTGTTCAGGTCTGGTTCAGTGAGAAGATGTTTGAGAATACATTCTGTTTTTACACTGGTTATAAAATACCAGTGTGCAAAACTCTGGATCAGTATCATGAATATATTTCAACTCTCCCATCAATGGACAGCCCAGAAGTATTTGGTCTTCATCCTAATGCAGACATTACGTAAGTGGGTTTTTAGCAAAGATGGAAATTCTTCAAGTTTTTCTTTAATCACTTTTAAAAATGTATTCTAAGTAATGAAGTATACTGGAAATCTACAGTATTTACATATACCAGAATATTTTAGAGAGCCTTTCTGGACTTTTTCAAGATTAAGGGAACAATCCAGAATCATGCTGGTCTGTGGGAGGGAATTAAGGGAAAGTCCCATTTGCAAAAGTGGAAGTTGGTTGTACAAGTGGAACATCATAACTGGATATTACCCCAACTTAACACTTTCCAGGTTAAACGTTACTTTTAACAATTTTCAAAATGTGATTATCCTATGAACAGAGAGCTTTCCCATATGCTCTAACACTTCTAGCAACACTTTTGTTCCCACTCAATTGTACTAAATAATTTAGTTGACATTTACACAAGATGAACTTGGATCAAACAGACTGCAAAAAATGGTATTATTTCATTAGTTCTCATGAAGTTCTTTGAATTTAACGATGGAATTTCAATCTTACCTGATAACTGCATTTTGAATGTTATTTTTTATTTAGTCACTTTTCATCCTTAAATACCTGGCAGGTTGTTTGTTATTTTCTGCTTCAAATACTGCACATCTGCTACAGGATGTAATTAGTCATCATAATATTTTATTAGTTTTTTATGTTATTCCTATGATTCAGTCGTGAATTATGCTTTTAGCCAATACGCTCACACTTAGCATTTCTGTGATTGTTAAAATCTGGTCAAACATTTCAACGGTGTTATTAACAAGTTTTGAACACTCAGTTATTAAAAGTGATATTTACTTTGGGGTTTCAAAAGTTTTACTGTAGAGGACAGAGTCTAGTCCTTAAGTTACCTCAGAAAGGCAGAAGTGAATTCTCAGGGGGAGTGCCCATATCTGAAGATTCATGCCTAAAGAGCTATGGCTTTGACATTTTGTATTATATTACAACACGTATTATCATTTTGACATTTCATTATTATTCAGGTGTAAGCATGCCTCATGTAATTATATCCATGTCTTTCAAAAGTAATGTGAGAAGCAGCCCTGAGGTGTAAAAGAGCTTGAATCATAGAATCAGAGTTAGAAGGGAGCACAAGGATCATCTAGTCCAAACCCGTGCATTGCAGGAATCTTTAGCCCAATATAGGGCTTGAACCCACAACTCAGGGCTAAGTAAGAAGTATAAGTTGCCTGTGTAATAGCATGTCAAGCACTGCTCTCTTGAGCTCTGAATGTGGGGCTGCCACTATATCGCTCGAAATGCTAATGAAACTATCAATGCAGCAGATGTATTTGTTTGTATATTGCTTTATAGGCTGAGTTTATCACTCACCATTGGCATCTCATTTAAACTACCCATCAAACAGTTTTGGGAGAAAATGCCCAAAGAAGCTGCAAAGTGGCATTTTAGGTTTTGAGTAGTTGGTGTGTAGCTGCTCTGGGACTTGACTATGCTACCACTCAGTGGATTTGTAACTGGCTGACTGACCGAACCCAAAAGGTGCTCATCAATGGTTCCTCTTCATCCTGGAGAAGAGTGACTAGTGGGGTGCCACAGGGTTCTGTCTTGGGCCCGGTCTTATTCAACATCTTTATCAACGACTTGGATGATGGACTCAAGGGCATCCCGATCAAATTTGCAGATGACACCAAACTGGGAGGGGTGGCTAACACCCCAGAGGACAGGATCACACTTCAAAACGACCTTGACAGATTAGAGAACTGGGCCAAAACAAACAAGATGAATTTTAACAGGGAGAAATGTAAAGTATTGCACTTGGGCAAAAAAAATGAGAGGCACAAATACAAGATGGGTGACACCTGGCTTGAGAGCAGTACATGTGAAAAGGATCTAGGAGTCTTGGTTGACCACAAACTTGACATGAGCCAACAGTGTGACGCGGCAGCTAAAAAAGCCAATGCAATTCTGGGCTGCATCAATAGGGAAGTAATAGTAATAGATCAAGGGAAGTAATAGTGCCACTGTATTCTGCTCTGGTCAGACCTCACCTGGAGTACTGTGTCCAGTTCTGGGCACCACAGTTCAAGAAGGACACTGACAAACTGGAACATGTCCAGAAGAGGGCAACCAAAATGGTCAAAGGCCTGGAAACGATGCCTTATGAGGAACGGCTAAGGGAGCTGGGCATGTTTAGCCTGGAGAAGAGGAGGTTAAGGGGTGATATGATAGCCATGTTCAAATATATAAAGGGATGTCACATAGAGGAGGGAGAAAGGTTGTTTTCTGCTGCTCCAGAGAAGCGGACACGGAGCAATGGATCCAAACTACAAGAAAGAAGATTCCACCTAAACATTAGGAAGAACTTCCTGACAGTAAGAGCTGTTCGACAGTGGAATTTGCTGCCAAGGAGTGTGGTGGAGTCTCCTTCTTTGGAGGTCTTTAAGCAGAGGCTTGACAACCATATGTCAGGAATGCTCTGATGGTGTTTCCTGCTTGGCAGGGGGTTGGACTCGATGGCCCTTGTGGTCTCTTCCAACTCTATGATTCTATGATTCTATGGGAATTTCCTGAAAGATCCCTGCAAGAGGCAGCTTGGCATTGTTTCTTTGCCTTTCTGAAATGTACATGAAATTCATTGGTTCATTTCCTTGTAAATAAAACCGAGTCTGTTTAGCATTGTAGAGTAGAGTAGAGTAGAGTAGAGTATTGTGGATTGCCAGAGAACAGCTATTCCTAGTTGCACTCAGACATCACAATGACCCAAGGTTCATTGTAGCATGAGCCTTTGGAGTCACAATGCCTTCCCTTCCCTCTTCTTTTATGCTCAAATTGAGGAAGTTTAAGCAAGAAGAAAGAACAGGTTCTCTTACTGCAGATATTGAGAGAGAAAAAAATCTGTTATCAAAAATAGTTGCAAAAGTAAAATACTCTTAACAAAGAACTGCAAAGTGCAAATTTCATGTGTCCATTTCCTAGCAATGAAACTAATATTCTGCTGCATATTATTGAAAATTCCTCTTAGGTATCAAAGTAGCACAGCATCTGATGTCCTGAACACCATTACCAATATTCAGCCAAAGGAAAGCGGAGGTGGAGTAGGGGAAACTCGAGAAGCTATCGTGTATCGATTAGCTGAAGATATGCTTGAGAAGCTGCCTCCTGATTACATAGCACATGAGGTGACTGTTTTTAAATTCTACAAGAGAATTGCAGACATGGGAATACTAACTTTTTTTGAGGCAGGGCTCTTGAGACTGATGCAGCTTCTGGGTGGTCTAGAAATCGGCATCTGTGGTTGTGAACAATACCAAACACACATGTGTGGATGCACTAAGTTGCAAACAACAAGCATAAGGTCATGATGGAAAGGCAGAGCTTTGCCAAACCAGAACTGGAACAAATGACTTTTAAGAGGAATGGGTAGTTTGTGAGTTGATATAAGCCATACCTAGGACAAACTGCTAAGTGTGGAACTTCTTAAAGTATAACCTTTAAATCCAGGAAAAACATCTACCTTTTCTAGACAGAAAGAAAAAAGATAGATGTTTTCCTGGATTTTCTGTCATGTAAAGGTTATACTTTAAGAAGACATAATGGGTCAGTCTAGACATAATGATCTTGTCGTGATAATGCTGGGTTTAGTAAGCTGAGAACAGTGTCCACACACTACTACTCCTTCACGAGCTCTTCTAGTCCTAGTTTAAACAAACTATGGTTTCCCATTACATACCAGCTGGCAGACTGGTTTAATGTCATCTTATTAATCAGGTTATTAAATCTAGATCTGTTTATGTTTCATCAGACCCAGTGCCCAATGGTTAGAACACCTGATAACATCCCAAAATATACATTTAAGCTAAAAAGACCACACCAAATAGTTGCCTACAGTTCATCAGACAAATAAATGGATACCTGATGAAGGATTTGGAGTTAAACAAGGTGGTGTTCTCCAGGGATTAGAACCAGGCTGGGGTCCATCCTAATTAGCTGCCTGGGAATGTGGGCTTTTCCTTGGAGTCCTACTCTCAGAGGAGGACAGGGCTGAGCATCATTGACTCCTGCAATGTATTAAGCCTATGAGTTGATTGGACCTGGTATAAACAACAGGACCTGGCCTTTTCCTCTTTTTCTTGGTCAATATAGAAGCATTTGTGAGTTCTTGACACTTCAAGTGCCAGCTGAAGTGATTACTCTGGCAGCTACATCCTGAATCGGAGCATACACACACACACACACCCCTATCTAGTTTAGGGGATAGACACTCATAACCTCAGCTTTGAAGTTCTGAAACATTTCCATTAGATTAGAACTTAAGATTTAAGTTAAAATAAATTGCTTTGAGTATTGCTTGTGACTTGAGTGTGAGTAGGTACTATGATAGACTCCTGAATCTTGCAGCATCTTAGGGGGAACAGTAGTTCCAAGGGACTACTCTTTTAACAGGCAGCAGCTGCTGGCTGATTCCCAAAGATTTTCAGTCAAAGCAACTAATGAATTTTGTGCTTCAGCTATGATCCTGAAAGACCTCTTCTGTTAAAAAGTAAGATATATAGAGCTGTGATAATATTCTTACAGCTGTGCTGAGCTTTTACACATTAGAAGTAAAAGGGAACCTGTCCTGCTCTCCGTTGCTTTATCCCCCAGTTTGTAGTTTGGGTGCCATTTTTCTTTAAAAGGGGGCATCTTCCTAAGGTGAGGTCTAGCCGTTAAAGGGAACAGTATGATGATGATGTTATGTCATCACATGGCCTGCCAGATTTGGCTGCATGATGATATCACGAAGCCAAATTAGAGTGAGGACAATGCTTTTACTCTGAACAAACCTTTTCTTCTGTTTTGCACCCCGCCCCCCAGTTAAGTAACTAAAACTGGGGTAAGAGGTTTGTTTGTAAAATACATATACCTGTTTCAGCTTACGCCTAGGTATTCTGTTATAGGGAATCCTCTAAGGTTACATAAAGGGAACATAAAGGTCCCTTTATGATGCTAGAAGAGGAATTTGGCTGGATGTGTATCTAATGGCTGTACCTTAAGGAAAATTATTAGCTAATCAATTTCCAATGAGAATTGCTCCCTTGATTCTATATACCGGTATATCACATCAAAGGTCACGTGTATCCCCAGATTATAGTAACTTCAAACAACTGTACATATTAGTGAATAATTTTCTCTTTTTATAGTCAAGATGCTGCAAACATTGGCCCATCTGTGCCACTTATTGAAAAATCCAATGGGTTCTTCAAGGGCAATGCAAAAAACAAGTTGCAAGATTAATCCAGAAGAAATACGAAAGAGTAATGATGATATTAAAGTTGTAATTTCTCCTTCCTTAAAAAAACCCATAAAGGATTTGTTTCTTAAGTATATGGGATACCACAACTTCAGAGGCATAGTAATTATTTCTCAGAATTTAATGGGTATACTCATTGTCCACAATGAATAGCCTACGAATCTTACATAAAATGTAAGAATGCAATAATTGTATTCTCTCCACTAACTAGATAGTCATTCCCTTTATATATCAGAGCTCAGATGATCATAAAGTCTACTGATTTAGGGTGCAATCCCTGAAGCACTGCTCCCTGGGCTGTCTCCATTGAAGTAAATGGTGACTATATAGAAGTGTTTTCTGAACTTGACTCATCATGGGGTAATGGTGGGGGGCGGAGGAGGAGGTTTTGTCTCTTATAAATGCTGGAGAGTTCAAAGCTAACGTGACAAAACATTGCTCTTTTTAAAATGTTGGGGTAGAGCAATCGTAAGTGGGGGAGGGTGTCATGTGGCAGATCTGCTGCCGCATCACATGCCCTGTTGGCTCACCAGACAGGGCACAGGTTGTGCCAGGGGGGTGTGCCTCTTGTATTTCCCCCCCAGTGTCAGTCCCTAGGTGGATCTAAGGGGCTTTGACCCAATGGACCCAAAGCTGTTGGTGCCTCAACCCACTTGGCTCTACACTACATGAATGTTGCTTTTGTGTGTGTTGGTGTCTGAGTTGGTATTTTCCTATGGTTACTTTACATCTTTGTACTGGACCACTCCTCTTCCTGTACACTTTGTCTCTGTCCCTTATTCACTATCTACTCTCTTAGTTTTTCTCACCCCTGCCCCCTCCTTAATTTTCATCTTCCAAGAACTCCTCCTCCTGCAACTAATTATCTGTTTTTGTCACAGCATTTTATAAATTTTACTTTTATGGCTGTTTCCCCCCAGTTTTTAAAAAGTTCTGTAATCTGCTTTGAGCCTTCAGGATGAAGCATTAATTTTTAAAAGATAACTTTTTGCTAGCAGAGCAGTATCTACGCTTCAATTTCAAATCGGTTCTAAGTGACACTGACTTCATATTTTTTTAAAAAGCATGGGCATGGGATAGATAAGTGATCTGTGTAAGTGATTAGTCAGAGGGGGTCAGCAAACTTTTTCAGCAGGAGGCCGGTCCACTGTCCCTCAGACCTTGTGGTGGGCCGGACTATATTTTGAAGGGGGGGAAAATGAACGAATTCCTATGCCCCACAAATAACCCAGAGATGCATTTTAAATAAAAGGACACATTCTACTCATGTCAAAACACCAGGCAGGCCCCACAAATAACCCAGAGATGCATTTTAAATAAAAGGACACATTCTACTCATGTAAAAACATGCTGATTCCTGGACCGACCACAGGCTGGATTTAGAAGGCGATTGGGCCGGATCTGGCCCCTGGGCCTTAGTTTGCCTCCCCATGGATTCGTGTAATGCACTGTGGCGATCACACTGGGTCCCTGGATGTTTCACCATCTATTGATCCCTGTGCCACCACTTTATTTCTCGCTGCCACCACCCAGACCCTACCTGGTACAATACTGAATCCAGTCAGTGTTAAATTGGAACATAAACTTCTGTTTATTTATTGCAGTTTAACAAGCGTGTGGTTTCATAAACGGTATCGGTCAATTACAATCATGGGGTGCCTATCCAGACCTATAACTTCTGCTACCTGCTCTCACTCACTAAACCACCTCTCAGATATTTACTTGTCTTCCTAGCCCCTAACTGTTCCTGACTCAGCTTATTTCACTACACTAACTCAACCTACCCACAGACTCTATCCAAATTCACTCCCACTCCAACCAACCACCCAACTCCCAACGAACTCCCCCTTTCGCTCCTCCCAGAGCTGGTTTTATAGTCCCTCTGACTCCACCCCCTAGGTTCTGATTGGGTAAACTATTAACTATTTCACCTCCAGCACTCTCATATGTTAACGTCACATGCACCTGCTTTTTTTGCACTTTCAGTGTGCCATCCAAAGAGGAAACTTTGTGAGCTTAAGCCACGTTTGAGTCTTATGCATCTCTCTGTAATGTACACAGCGAGAGGTCACAGCTCCCAAATCCAATCCCTTGCATTTTGGTAAAAGAAACTGCCAGTAGCAGTCTAGGAGGACCTCTGTCTCGGCCCTTGGAGAGCCATATCAAGGCAGTGCATCCTGGGCGAGGTGAACCACAGGTACCACTCAGTAAAATGCATCTGCATCTGCATACTTTCCATGTGGACGTTAATCTGCAAGTAACATACACAATCTGCTTCTCAATAATTCTTTTTAAAATTTTAATATTTTAATATTTTATTTAAGGGGGAAATACATGAACAAAGACATACAGATGCCACAAATACACATAGAAACACATATGCTACCTATGCAAACTAAAACAAGACACCTTACCCACCCCTGTGACCTCCCTCCACCACGGCTCGGCTTCCTTAATTTTTAATTTTATTATTTCATTGCATTTCTAAAAAATTTCATCTTCATCTCTTACAACCATTTCTGATTTAATTTTCACCTTTACTTTACATACTTACATAATTAAGCTATACTTGCTAACCCTATATTTATATTCACACTTCCACTTTACACGTTCAATCTATGCATATTAACACTTTCTTTTAAGAGCAGCATTTTTCCATGTATTCTTTGAAGCTTTTCCATTCTGATTTTAAATTTTGATTTGTTTGAGATCTTATAATTGCTGTTAATTTTGCCAACTCGATGAATTCACTTAGTTTATGAAGACATTCTTCTTTAGAGGGTACCGTCGTGTCTTTCCATTTGCTGGCTAGAACTATTTTGGCAGCAACTGTGGCATATAAAAAAAATTCTCTTCTTATTCTGTGGGATATCACTCCCTATTATGCCCAATAGATATGTCTCAGGGGTTTTTTCTATGGAGATCCTGCTTCTTCTCAATAATTGTTGAAATGCCCAGCTGGTGATGGTGGACCAGAAGCTGGACCTAGTCATCAAAGTACTAACAAAACAGAAGCCATTGGTGCGGCTGTTGTCAGCTCACACCACTTGTCATGGATGCCGTACTGTAACAGGAGACTGGTCTCTCATTCGTATGAGAGCTGTGGGGAATGCAAAACCTGTGTTGGTCTCAGATGGGAGTGAGATGATTTGTGAAGAATAAGATGCCTTGGTACCTGTTATGTTGGCCACTCGCCTAGCCCCAGCCCCACAAATCATAAACAGAAACGGTGCAAAATATAATTATTTCCCTACTGTTACTCTAAATGCTTTATTGACTGGATTACTTTCTCTTAACTTCCTATTTAGGTGAAAGCCCGCTTAATAAAAATGGGACATCTTAATTCTATGAATATTTTTCTTCGTCAAGAAATTGACCGAATGCAAAAGGTTATCAAAATAGTTCGAACCAGTCTAAGTGACCTTAAGCTCGCCATAGAAGGAACTATTATTATGAGTGAGGTAACCTAGTCCATCATTATGTAAGACTACTCATTTTAAAACTAATGCATCTCATATCAGGGCCACTAATTTTTTGTTTTTAATTTCTTCAGAATTTAAGAGATGCGCTTGATAACATGTATGATGCTCGGATTCCTAAACTTTGGAAACGTGTATCTTGGGATTCTTCCACACTTGGCTTTTGGTTTACTGAACTTCTAGAGAGAAACAATCAGTTTCGCATCTGGATATTTGAAGGGAGGCCTCCTGTATTTTGGATGACTGGATTCTTTAATCCTCAGGGTAAGAATTAGAAGGGTAAAATTAACTGTACATTATCCTGCATTTAGCTACAGTTTAATTTACTCTGCTGTAGTGAGATTCTCAGAGGGTGGGGGAAGGGATCAAATACATTCAGAGGCTTTTTTCAATTCTACAAAGAAAATTTACATTTCTAATATGTATGTAATAATATGTATGTAAAGTAGAATAACTGCTCATAGTTTCTGTCAAATTGATGCAAAAGTAGCATTTCTGATTATTATATTATCCAAAAGACTGTGGTGTCCCATAGGACATAGATGCAAGTTCTTCCAAAATTGCAAAGTGTAAACATTTCCCCTGTATGACCTCCACTGTAGTATTTAATTTTCTGGAACCAAAATAGAATTTATTGTACATTCTAGCAAGTAATGCAGTCTCTCAGATGGATGAAAATCAACATGCATACATTCTTGTCAAGCATTTCTCCATTTTTGGCATATACCCTGTTAGCAAGACAGCATTTCATCATGGGCTTGCATGGTTGGTTGCATGCCAATTTATTTTCCCATACTATCTTGGCAACCAGTTTCTATTTACCAAGGGGCATTTAGGCTACAATTCTATAGCCACTTACCAGGAAGGAAGTTAATGGGACTTATCTTTTTAACAGACATTTATAGGATTGAACTGTTAGACATTTTCAGAAAAGGGGGAAAGAAATAAGTAAAGGTGTAAGACTGGGAAGAAAGAACATTAAAATAAAACAATTTGCCATTTTCTGTGGTTTAATGACTATCTTGTACTGAGGTAGACTGATGAATGCCACTGTGTAATTTCTAAACAAAACTGATTAGCTTCAAAGAACAGATAAAACCTTCAGAGAATATTTGTTTGGCAACAAATGATTTAAATTTTGAAAGCATTTTGGTTCTTTAGATATAAAATGCAGCAGTGCTTCTTGGCCTCCAAAGCCCATAATACTTTCCAGTCCCAGTGAGGCCAATACGTGGCTTCTTTTGATTACAGTTTCTGGTTTTTCAAATCCTTAATATTTGCTGTAGCCACTAGATGTTGTTACTATTAATTCACTAATAAATAACAATAGTTGTAGCCTATAGTTCCACTGTTCTTGCTTTTCTCATTTCTTCTTATTTATTCCGTATCTTTTGTTGGTAATTTGCTGCTGAGAGTTTTAGTGTGCTTTTTTTACACCATGAATGCTTTTACCATAAAGCACTGCAGCCTGAAGACAGATAACAGAAAATGTTGTATTTAACTTGCCTTGTTTTTTCATCCACTTTGAAGGTTTCCTAACAGCTATGAGGCAAGAAGTGACTCGAGCACATAAAGGATGGGCTTTGGATACAGTAACTATCCACAATGAAGTGCTGAAACAAGCTAGAGAAGAAATCACAACAGCCCCTCCTGTATGTGTGATGTATTTATATTTTGGCATTAATTTCAGAACTTACTCATAGGAGTTGCATCCAATGAAATAATTCAGCTTGCTCAAGGACTTCCACTTGTGCACTGGAACTTCCCTCCCTCTCCTCCTCAACAGTCTGCTCTGAAAGGTTTGGGAAAACCCAGAAGCACTGTGCAAGTGGAAGTCCCAGCACAAACAGGATGACAAACAGGATTCTCTCTCTCTCTCTCTCTCTCTCTCTCTCTCTCTCTCTCTCTCTCTCTTTCTTTTTTTCTTTTCTGGCTTGATAAGAGCCTAGAAGCAGCCTTTTCCATAGCAAGCATGGAAACCTAGACTTCTAGCCTCTTAAGAGGCTAGGTTTTTAAAATGCTATCTGCTAAATAGGCAGACATACGAACAGAGTAGTTTGTCCTCCCTCCACCAACCAGCCTGCTGCATTTCTGCAATGGTTATGGACAAATAGACTTTTCTTCTTCCTTGACTAGCATTGAAACCAAATGGGTTTGGTGAAGTAGGGGGTTAGATTATTCTGTACCCACTTGCATGGAATTTCATGAACTTACAGTGGAATTCCTGGTCATTCCTGGTAACACGACTGTGTTATATGGTAACGAAGTGGTAAAACTATTCATTGTGATCCTTACATTTTACTACACTATTGCTTATGCCTGTAAAAAAAGCAAGGGTAGCCATCATGTTTTGTACTACAACTCCCAGACCATTGGTTACATTGGCTGAAATGGATGGAAGTTTTACTCCAAAGCACCTGGAGGGCACCATGTTGGCCAACCTGATGTAACTCTTTGATATTGATCATATTATAGAATCCTGATAAACCTGATAGGCTAAAAGGTGAAGAAACATTGCCCTGAGTGCATTTTCTTTTCTGGGTGTATTCTCCCATAATTGTTATATTAATTATCACACTCAAGTGTTTTATTTATTTATTTTCTTAAGAAATTATATATTGTCTTCCCCTCACCATGGAATCCAAGGCAGCATACAGGTGTTTCGGGCACTAGCCAGACCCAGAGCTGTTTGGCATCAACAAGGTGGTGGCCTCATGTTGCCTTCAGACCATGAAGGCACAGTAGCTATATTTAATCTGTTATTTGGAGTTGGAAAAAATTCCCTCCCCCACCCCAGATAAGACTTGCAGAAGACCATAGAGGGTTTAAAAAGAAAAAGAAAAAAGTGAGGAGCTGTTTGCCCTTCAACATAGCAGTCCAGGACTCCTGCTGTAAGACCTACCTGCTGTTGTGCCTCAAAACAGTTAGTTATTTTGTCTTTTTGGTGAGCTCAATATCTTAACATTTTTCATTCCCATTTAGTGCAATTTCAGGAACTTTGTGGATCAATTTTTTATTATGATTTCAAACTTTGCTAATTATGCCACATCTTATATTGAATAGGTTAAGTCAAACAGTCATGTTGTAATTTTAAAAGCAGACACTTTTCTATGCATAATAAACATCAAATTCTTTTCACACAGGAAGGGGTATATATTTATGGATTGTACTTGGATGGAGCTGGATGGGATAGACGTAATAATAAACTCACTGAATCAACTGCGAAGATTCTTTTCACTGTGCTTCCTGTTGTGCATATATTTGCGATTAATACAACTGGCCCAAGAGACCCTAAACTCTATGTTTGCCCCATCTACAAGAAGCCAAGGAGAACCGATTTGACCTATATTACTGCAATCTACCTAAGGACAACTGTCTCTCCAGATCACTGGATACTGAGAGGAGTAGCCCTCCTATGTGACGTCAAATAAAGCCTGATCCTTTGATTTTGACAAATACACCAAAACAAGATGTATTTAAACTTTATTATTAAAGGGGCACACAAATTGACTTTTTTTCATTATTAACTATTCTCTTCCCCCAGAAAGTCTCATTTGCTTTATAATTTCCAACAATTCTACCTTGTACAGTTATGCTTTGGTATTCTGACTTTTGTCAACTATATTAAATTTTTCTCTTGCCAAACAGAAAAATCTAGTTTTGCGTTTTAATTTTCCCAGCTTTCTACTTACTTTTTTATTGTTAGTGGAACATATTAGCCTAGTTAACGAAAGAATTATGCTGTATTTAGATTTAGTAGCCCGCACATTGGGAAGATCAGTGGAACTAAACTGGCACAAATCCAGGTACCCTATTTTGACTTTTTTTGTGAATCAGACTGCCTATCAGAAACTGTTGAATGGATATAAATCGTTCCCATAATACAAATTGTTAATCGTTTTTTCTCTCTGAAAAAGACAAACCACTTACGCCAACATACTTCTTTTTAAGCAAATTTTTGCAGCATTAAAGACAATGGAATTAAATAAAATGAAGTTAAAGAAATGGTGGTTTAAGTGAGCTATTCATCACAGTCAACATAAACAGGATAATGGTTGATATTGCAATATATTTGATTGGGGAGATTTCCTCCTCAGGAACTGCCCCCACCCTCTCTGCCACTACTTTCAGATGTGCTTACTGGAGATCAAACGCTAACAGTACTTGGCCCAGCAAAACTATTGTGCATACCTTTGATAGTCAACAAGAAACATTTCCTTCTAACCCTGGAAGAACTTGTCAGATACCAGAATGCTTACCAATTATAAATACTTGTAGGTAAATGCTATTCATTTGTCATTTGGATCCTTTGAGTTTGCTTTGAATTTGGTTTGGTGATACAAATTGTGTGTGTGTGTGTTTTAAGTTCCAGTAAATATAGAACCAAACACAGCCTAATCTAATGCCAAGAGTCACATATTTATTGGGGTGTGTGTGGAGAGAGTTATTATTCATTCTGAGATCAATAATGATTTCTCTCTTCTGGTTAGTAAAAAAGGGAAAAAAAGGATTTTGTTCACAGCACTGCGAGGACATAGAGTCTAAATACTGTAATAATCATTAAGTGACCAGGTAAGATGAGACATTTATTATTAATCCTAATGCAGAGTTTGTTCAGAATTCACCTCTCAGAGTCCTAGGGCAGAAGAAGTCATTGACTAAGCTGCCAGGGTTTGCGAGTCAAGTGGCTGATTGTCATTGCACTCAAGCACCTATTCACTTCAGTCAAAGAAACAAACAGTAAGTAGGATGCTTACTCCACGGGAAGCCAATTGCAGCTGGTAAGTCTTTCAATATACTTGCGGTTCACCTTTAATATATAAAAGCAGCCTGACAGGCAGAAGTAATATCCAAACCCCCTCTGGAATCTAACCAAACTATATCAGATGTGGTTAAGCAATGTTGTGAAACAGCCAACCAGGGAACCTGTCACTATGCTCTGAGGTTTAGGCTCCTCATGCAAAGGAACTGCTCTTTAATGTTGCAGACTGGAAAAGATACAGGGAATCTTCACAGGATGGGTGCCTGGTAGGGGAGATAGAAAAGCCCCCTTCTCTGACATCCCGGAGGACTGCTGCAAGTTGATGTAGACACTACTGAATTAGATGGATGTTAGGAACATATTAGAAGAAGACATAAATCCACAGGTTTCTAAGTCTTCCCCTTTTCAGATATCCTGCTGCCCCAACATGGCCCTAAACTATACCAGTTCTGGAGCTGGCCTGGTAATTTCCCACCCATTGGAATCAATGGGAGGGTGGGTGGGGATCTCCAGACGAAAAAAATCTAAAAGCACAGGCTCTTCTTACCTTCCAGCCAGGCTGCCATGAACATTTGGGACTTGGGGTCTGGCACTGGATGGGTAACAGCCTTATACAGAGTCAGATCATTGGTCCACCCAGCTCAGTATTGTCCAAACTGACTGGCAGTGGCTCTCCAGGGTTTCAGGCAGGGTTCTTCCCCATCCCTACCTTGAGACACGAGGGATTTAACCAGGGACCTTCTGCATGCAAGGCAGATGGGATGCTCTACCAATGGAGTCCAGTCTTTCCCCAAGGAATCCCCTCCCTCCTGTTAGAATTGCTCAGTACATTGTAGGAGAAGCTTGTGAGAGTGAATATGAACTGACTTGCTATGGGCTTTAGGAAATGGGAACAGTATATATTTCTTTCTGAGATATTATCATGCAAACAGGATTCTCCCGAGTGCGAAGCATTATATTTCTAAAACGGCACCATCTACACACAAGGAGAAATATGCAAGCTTAGGGGACTCCCCAGTGCTCGCTGAAGTACACACTTTAAAAAATAAGGGGGGGGGGAGAGAAAAGAACCACCAAAACAACCCACTGAGGAGCGAGCAAGATTGTTGCATGGGAGATGTGTGCTTGGAATGCAGTATCCTGGAACAGGGCATGGCTGGCTGGAACCCTGAACATTTTGTTGCAGGCTCTACTTGTTTTTGAAGAGCACTGAATTATAACTGCTGCCAGGCAAACATCACCTGGCCATAAAGGAAAAATGTTCTGACTTCATTTCTGATCTACAGATTTCAGATCTCTAAATGGTTCCCCCCGTCCCCAGCTTGAAGTAATGTGCTGCGTGGCTCATAAGTCTTGGCTTCTAAACCAGGTGCAATAGCATTTAGTGAGCTCAGGGGGCTCCTCTGTTTCTGTTTCCAATTGTCTCTGTAAGAAATGAACTTAAACACATCTATCTGCTACTGCTACAAATGTCAGATTTTAAGTATCCTAAGAGGTTTCCCCCCACTTATCAACAGCAAATCAAGTACCCCTTGGAGCCCCAAAGAATTGTAATTTATCAAGACCCTTGGCTGTCCTTTCTGATGTTGTTCTGGGCAACACCTCCCCAAAACTCAATTTAAAGCTGCTCTTAAAAGTGGAGTACAGATTTCCCTATAGTAAAAAGTCATCTGGCATAATCTCCTTGGAGGTTTTCACAGGGTTCTGCAAGTCACAGATGCAGGAGATATTTATGGCATTTTCTACTTGAGTAAAGCAAGGTAAATGTGCAACTTCTTTGTATTTGATAGGTCACATAGAAAGTGTCACGTCACTTTTTGGAAAGCTTTTGCCGCAATACCTGCGTCCAACCCTTTTAAACTCTGCTTTAACCAGAAACACGGATGACTGCAAAACTACGGGCGGACACAAATGTTGCATTTTTAAAAAATGAGGGAAAGGATGTATGTTTACCATATTGCACCGAGAATTTCTCTAAGTGGTTCACAAATAATGTGGTGCCCAATGCTTAATTTAAAACTATGCACAATAATTCCAAAATCAATAAAAACAGCAGACAAAAGCAATGGCAATGCCAAAGCTCCAAAATTATCAGGTAAAATAAAATGGAAAAGGAACAGCAAAATAAATAGGACTTTACTTCAGCCGTGTAAATAAGCCTACAAATGTGTTTTTTTATGAGCCTGTGATTCCATGCTGGCTGCAGAGAGGGTTATATATTGCAGCAGGATGGAAATGCAGGATCCTGGCCTCTATGAAGGCTGGTGGAAAACATTGTTGTCAGGGCCGCCTCAGGTCCCAGCTCACAAGAGACCAACGCCAAGTCCACTTTATTTACAAAAGTCTTTATTGAAGTACATTGTTTGTTCCACAGCCGAGGCGCGCAGCCCCACGTCTGTTACGCTTAGACCGCTGTAGTCCCCTCTGAATCAGTCCCGCCTCCACACCAGTTTAAGAGGCTTGTGCTGGTCCACCTCTTCCTGTCCTTCCTTTTCCGCAGGGTCTTTCTGCCCCCCTGGGCTCCTTCCCTCCTGCTCTCCCCTGACGCTGAGTCCCCAGACGCCTGTTCCCCCCTCCTCCGTGCTTTGGGACCAGGCTCCTCCTCCAGGCTCTCCGCATTTCCGCGCGCCTCCACATTTGAACTTGGCACGCGTTCGCTACCCCTGACCTTCCTTTTGACAGTTACACTACTCTCTGTACTACTCTCCGCCCCTTCCGGCAGGACGTCTTGCCCCGATCTCCTTCCCCTCTCTGCTTCCTGCTCTGCTTCGTCTGTCACACTGGGAACTCCACCCTCTTCACTCCGTTCCGGCGGGGAAGCCGGCCCCGATCTCCAACGCCCACTCGGGGTTTCCCTGCTGCTCCCCTGCTCCTGACAAGTCTCCCCTGTGGCTCCCCTTGGCCTGACCAGGGGCGCCCCCTTTTGTGAATCCTCCGATTCACTTGAAAGACTCATGGAAACCCTCAAGTCATTGTCATCCCCCTCCTCCTCGTTCCGGGATTCTTCCCCCTCGCTCTCAGTCTCCTCCCTCATCTGTGCCTCTCTCCCTGAACCCCTGACAATTGTCTTCTAGCAAGAATGCTGGTAGGGGAGGGACAGAAGTGAGGGATGGGATTCCCTTCCTCCACAGCCAGCACAGAAACCAAGCATACTGGTGAAGAAGGGCTAGAGATCCAGCCCTCCTCCATGTAGCAAGCCTTAGTTTCAATTCCTGGGATCTCCAGTCTCTGTGTGTGCATCAATAATACTGGGCTAGATGGTCAAAAAGTCTGAACTGCTATAAAACAGTTCCTTATTTTAAATGAACAATTTGGGGCCTTATTTTATGGAGGCCCATAGCTCAGTGGTAGAGCATCTGCTGTGCATACAGAAGGTCCCATATTCAATCCCTTGCATCTCTAGGCAAGGCTGGGGGAGGCCCCTGCCTGAAAACCTAGACAGTCATTGCCAGTCAATGTATACAGTGGTACCTCGGGTTAAGAACTTAATTCGTTCCAGAGGTCCATTCTTAACCTGAAACTGTTCTTAACCTGAGGTACCACTTTAGCTAATGGGGCCTCCCGCTGCCGCCGCCATGTGATTTCTGTTCTCATCCTGAAGCAAAGTTCTTAACCCAAGGTACTATTTCTGGGTTAGCGGAGTCCGTAACCTGAAGTGTCTGCAACCCGAGGTACCACTGTATAAGGCTGCTTTACTCCCTTATGCATAAACCAGCACCATGGTTGCACACTCTTCCCTCAGATACCCCTTTCCCTCCTTTCAGCATGTACTAGTTTTGGTGTGCAGATCCTGCCTTACATCAAACCAGAACTCCCCATAACATCCATAAT